TGTCTTCCCCATTGGTTTAAACTCTCACCATTTTGTAGGGCAGTGGTGGCTCACACCTTTAACCCCAACACTCGGGAGGCAGAGGCAGGAAGATCTCTGTGAGCTTGAGGCCAGCCTGGTCTACAGAGCCAATTCCAGGACAGGCTCTAAAGCTACAGAAAAACCCTGTCTCAAAAAGCCAAAGTAATAAGATAATAAAATAAATGATGATAATGACAATAATAATAATTCTAATTAGTATGGCATCTAGTCTAGATTTTTTTTTTAAGTGCTCGTGGTAGGATTCATGCCTTCATGCACGCTAGGCAACACAACCAGAAGACACATCCATGATTTCTTCAGACACATCATTTTCACTGACATAACCATGACTAGAGTCTCCAGTGTCCTGTCCACCCTGTAGGGAACATTTTCCCATGTAATTTAAATTAGAAAATATTGGATGAATGAATGGCTGCGTGGTGTGTTAATTCACTTGGACCTCAGCTTGTACACAGCTTCTCATCTAATGGACTCAATGCCCCGAAGAGAAACGCTCAGCCGCCTCTTGCAATCTGAGAGCAGCAAGGGCAGTTTGTGTCACTTGTGCACTAACCTGATGCCTTCAGGAGTCATCTCTCCTTCTGACTCTCTCCTGCTAGGCCAGACCTCTGTGCCAGGACACAGAGTCCCAGTCCTTTTGCCTTAGTGTGACCAGATTCTGAAGGCCATTTCAGCCCCAGGCCCTGCCACATCTGGTCTCCATCACCTCCCAAGAGCTCTGATTTAAACTTCCCACAGGCAACCCTGTCTCAGAGCTCTTTTCCCTGGGAACTCAGCCTTTTCATTTTTCTGTTGCAAAAAATAAGATAAAAGTAGGAAAAGGCTACATAAGGCCACGTGTGGCCAGCAGCTTAAGATTCCCCCAGAGTACACCTCATCACCAGCAGCTGATTTTTCTCTTAGAGCAGGCACAGGGGTGCAGGCCGCTAATATCAGCATGCAGGGTGGAGAGATGAAGGCGTGAGGATCAGAAGCTTTAGGTCAGCCTTGGTACATAGTGAGCTTGAGGCTAGTCTGAGATATGAGATCCTGTCTCAAAATTATTTTTAAATTTCAGTTTATGTTTGTAAAAATAGTGTTAGGTCTAGAGTTAGTTTATACTTACTTTTATCTTTAACTGTCCATGTGTGTGCTCACACATGTGAGTACAGGTGCCCAGAGAAAAGGCGTCATGTCCCCCTTAGCCAGTCATTGTGATCTGGGTTTGAGGAACTGAACTTGGGTTCTGCAACACCAAGAGCAGCACATGATTTTAACTGCTCCATTGCCCCTCCAGCCCCTCATGTTATTTTGTTTTGAGATGGGTCTCTCTGCATTGTGCTGGCTGTTCTGGAACCCACTATGCTGGCCCCGATCTCACACAGATCCCCCTACCTCTGCCTTCTGAGTACCGGGAAATATAAATATGCATCACCATAACTAGCCCACTTAATATTCTTTAAGCCTCACAAATATTTCTTAAAGATAGTAAAGCTGGAAGCTGGAGATATGGCTCTTCCAGAGAACCTGACTTCAGCTCCCAGCACCCAGTTCAGTCTGGTTATGATCACATGTAACTCTCAGCTCCAGGAGATCCACACCTCTGGCCCACGGACACCTACACTCACATGCACATATCCACATGCAAGCACACACACATACCTGCACATAAAAATGAACCTAAAAAACACAGTAAAAACCACATTATATTGTATATTTATTATATTCTACAGACCATATACTAATGATCTCATTATTTAAGACAGGACCCCACACATCATAGTCTAGCCTCAAACCTGTTATGAAGCTGAGGTTGTCCTTGAACTGATGATCTTCATGTCTCTACCCACCAAGTGCTGGAAACCACTATACTTGGGTTGTGCAATGCTGGGGACAGAAGTCAGGACTTCAGAACACACACTAAGCAAGCATTCTGCTAACTGAATCATACCTCTACCCCATACTTATTTTTTAAATTAGTAAAGCAGTGTGGGAATTTACAGGTATTCTTGGGTTGCCTGACAAAGGCAGGCACAAAACCTTTGCAGGAACATTCTAATTCTAGCCCAGACTCCTCATAGAATTATCAATCTGCATTCTATTTCATCTGTTATTTTTCTGGCAGTACTGGAGATTGAATCCCAGACCTTGTGCATAATGTACAAGTGTTGTACCATTGAACTGTATAGCCCCAACCCTTCACAATTCCAACTCAAAATATACATGTGAGTCAGTCAGATGGCTCAGTGGAAACTAAGGTGCTTGCTGCCAAACATGATGACCTGAGTTCAATCCCCAGAGTGCCAACCCTCCGAGTTATTCTCTGATTCTCTGACTTCCATACATGTGTTATACCATGTGCAGGTGCAAGCACGAGAGCGTGTGCACACATACACCATGTTACAGTTTGACTCTGAAATGTCCCCCACAAGTTCATGTTCTAAGTGTTGTGTCCCTGGATTGTAGGGCTATTTTGAAGTGTGCAGAACCTTTAAGAGGTGGCACCTGATTGGCACAGTAAATACTAGAAACAGTCATTTTCAAGTTAGGCCCACCCACCCACTCCCTGCCAGGCTTAGTCAAGTGCTGCCTGTCTGCTGCCACCTTCTGCTGAGATGTCACCCCTAACATGGACGGAGTCATGAAGTAACACAAACCCTTCCATGAGTTGCTCTTTGGCTGTTCTATCATAGTGTGTAAAACTGACTGTCATGATAAAACCTGAATCTGTCCTGAGCCAAGAGGAGGATGGGTAATCTGGGGATTTGATAAGTAAGGCAAAACTCATATATAATGTGTTCCAGACTAGCTAGAGCTAGAGAGACCCTGACTCAGAAAACAACAAAACAAAAACCCAAAAAAATCCCTATCCCTGATATTTGTCAGCCATCCTGATTTTGCCCATTCTAAGAGACACTTAACAGTAGCCACTATGATTTTAATTTCCAGGCCCTGACAAGGCTAAACAATTTTCCACGCTGTATCTGTCATGTATGTATCTTGGTGGTACAAGCCTTTAGTCCCAGCACTCAGGAGGCAGAGACAGGCAGATTCCTGTGAGTTTGAGGCCAGCCTGGTCTACAGAGCAAGTTCCAGGACAGGCTCCAAAACAATACAGAGAAACCCTGTCTCAAAAAACCAAAAATTGTAATTGCATGTGTAGTATGATGTAATTATACAGCGTGAGTGTTTAGATTGGAGGATAATTTGCAGAATTTGGTTGTTTCATCCCATCATGTGGGTTCTAAGAGGAAACTCAGGTAGCCAGGCTTGCATAGCAAGTTAACACCACCCGCTACACCATCTTGACAGCTCTTGGGCATCCTTTTTGATGAAGCATCTGTTCAAATATTTACTTTTAAATTGGGTTGAGGGGCTGAAGAGATGGCTCAATGGTTAAGAACACTGGCTGCTGTTCCAGAGGACTTAGGTTCAATTCCCAGAACCCACACGGCAGCTCACAACCATCTGTAACTCCAGTCTAAGGGATCTGACAACCTTTACTGGTCTCTATGGGCACCAGACACACATGTGGTGAACAGACATGTAGGTAAAATATCCATACACACAAAATAATTTATTTTTAATTGGGTTGCTTGCTTCAAGATTCATTTTTATTATGTATGTGTGTGTGTGTTGTTTGTTGGCTTGAGTTTGTGCAAGTGAATGCAGTGCCCGTGGAGGCCAGCAGGGGGCACAGGATCCCCTGGAGATGGAGTGACAGCTGTGACATGGGTGCTGGGAACTGAACTCAAGTCCAGGGGAAGAGTAGCAAGAGTTCTTCACCTCTGGGCCATCTCGGCCCCAGCTTGCTTATACTCAGTTCTTATAATCTGATAAATCTTTTTACATACTTACTAACATATATATATTTTTTTCTTTTCTTTGAGACAGGGTTTGCGTAACCTTGGCTGTCCTGAAACTAGCTCTTTAGATCAAGCTGGCCTCAAACTCAGAAAGACCGCCTCCTCCTGCCTCTGCCTCCTGAGTGTATGCCATCTCCCCAACATATATTCTTTATATAATAAGAATTATCAGATATATGAAACAAATATTACCTCAACTATAATTTTGCACTGATGTTTTTCTGTTGTTTTTGTTTTTGTTTTTTGAGACAGGGTTTCTCTGTGTAGCCCTGGCTGTCCTGGGACTTGCTTTGTATGCCAGGTTGAGCTCTAACTCACAGAGATCCACCTGCCTCTGCTTCCTGAGTGCTGGGCTTAAAGGCATGTGCCACCATAGCCCAGTAAAAAAAAAATTTAACTTTAATAAAGTCCAATTATTATTGCTATTATTTATTTGGCAACATTCAGGATCAAATTATGTAAAGCACTGGGGAGGCAGAGGCAGGTGGATTTCTGAGTTCAAGGCTAGGATTGCACACTGAGATCCTTTGTCAAAAAAAAAAAAAGAGAGAGAGAGAGAGAATATAGCCATCTACAGCATTTCACAATAGCATCCAACTGATCCAAATATAGCTAATTCTACAAAGACCAAGTAGTCTAAGAGAGGGCCACCACTTCCTAAAAATGTTGGATGTCTTTATTCTATAGTGACTAAAGTGATGTTGATGTTTCATCCATCTACCTTCAGAAGACTGTTTAAAATGTCTTTATAGGGTCTAAAGAGATGCCTCAGTGGTTAAGAGCACTTGCTGCTCTTTCTGAGGACACAGGCTCAATTCCTAGCACCTACATGGCAGCTCAGGACTGTCAACAACTCCAGTCTCAGAGCATCCAATATCCTGTCCTGACCTCTGCAGACTCCACACATTCATGGTGCTTAGACATTTTCACAGGCCAGGGGAAAACTGTCTTCATAAGAACAGAGAGATAAGCCACATAATTATTTGTTATCTGCAGAAATAACCACAGGACTCTGAGAAACAATGGCTTCTTTCACTAGAGAGCTGGCAGAAAAATGTTAATTTTTTTGTTTTTTTTTTTTACCAAGTTAATATTTTGGAAATTAAACACCAATTTAATTTGGCAGCATTTTGTATTTAGCAGTTGTGTTTCCCATGGGATGAGAAGGCATCAACCTGGTAAAGTGATTCATTGGCAAACAGCTTTGGTAAGACCAAAACACCTACCAAAGGGAAAGAGAAGTGTGTCCCACTTCCCCAGGCATTCAGTTGCCAGGTAAGACTGCCTGTCAGTGGGGAGGGACGGCACAACTATGTCCTCAGAGCACTGTGGTACAACAGCCCTAACCTGTTGCTCGTTTGCAACACGCTGCTCCAGAGAGAAACATCCGCATGCCCAGGACTTTTGCCAGGTATATATTTAAAGTCAGAGGGAGCAGAGATGGGTTTTGTCCCGGAGGCTTTACTGCTTCTGAGTTGGTGCATCACAGTATGGCACGTTTTCTGTTAGAAGGTCTTTCCTGGGGACCAGTTCTAAAAGGAACAGAGACAAGTGGTTAAGATGATTAGAACTCCAGTCACTACTGATCCTCAAATCAGATCTACGTGCCAGCACCCCACTTCCCCCACAAGTTCCAACTGTAAACTGTCCAGTTTAGGAACCTCAAAGAAAACTCTTCTAGAGACATTTTACTTCAGTTGCTCTTTAACTGGAGGCATTTAATAAGATCCTCATTCATGTTACATAAAAACATACAACCAAGTCCACTGTTTTACTAAACATGACTAATTAAACAACTGAACAGAATTAAGCTAAAAACATATTACAGGCCATCTGTCAATTGCTAATTAAAAATGTCATCTATGAATGGTTTTTGAGAGAGCTAGCCTTGAACTCCCTGCGTAGCTGAGGTTAACCTTGAACTCCTGATCCTCCAGCCTCCACCTCCCAATGATGAGACTACAGGTGTATTACACCTTGCCTTGCTACTTGGAAATCTGTATAGAAAGCAATACATTACTCTCATAACTTAGGAAGTCCACATCTACAGAACAGTGGTTCCCCTTCCCTGCCATAATTTCCCCTCTCCTTTCCTCCCTTCCTTTTTGGCTTTCACACATTACCAAACTTGTACCCTACCACCAAGCTACATCCTTCTCCCCTAACAATGGCGCCTAACTGAAGGAGTCTTCAGACATACAACTTAGTGAATGCTGCTAAAAACTTACTGGGCAGGAGCCAAGGATGCTAACTGCAATGTGAAAGACAGGCTGGTGCAGCGAGGAACTGCCATGACAGAATGACAGCAGTGCCCCCACTGAGACACACTGCTAATCAACCACCAATCATTGACTCCTAGGCAAGACAACTCGATAGAGGCAAGATAAAATGGTTACAATAGGAAATTGGGGGTCATGGAGGTTACTCGGTCATTAATGTTCTTGCTATGATAATGTGAGCACGGAGTTCAGATTGCCTGGCAAGGCTAGCTGTATCAGGGAACTGTGGGTTTAACTGAGAAATCCTGCTTCAGTGAATAAAAAAAAGTGATGGAGGGCAATTCCCAACATCAGGTTCAGGGGTCCACATGCACTTGCACCCACACACATGAAAAAATGTATTTGTGTGTATGCTCATCACACACACATACACTCACATGAAAAATGGAAAAAGTTAAGAGAGAAAACAGCCCAGACATGCTGGTGTATGCCTATAATCCCAGTAATCATAGGCAAAGGCAGTGAGATCAGTATTCAAGGCCATCCTAAAGGACAAAGCATGACCACACTGGTCTGAGCTATGGTGAGTCCTTGTCTCAAAGACCCTGGGTAAAAAAAAAAAAAAAAAAAAAATTGAGGAGCTGCAACACTTGCCCTCTTACTGCCCAGTGTGTGGCTCACACTGTAACCTTAACTGTTGGGAGGCTAAGACGGGAGGATCACCATGAGTTTGAGGACAGTTTGAACTAAAGAATGAGACCCTTGTAGCCAAAGACTAAAATCTGTCTCAACAAAAGCAGAGCTTGGGGTGTGGTCCAATTAGCATGAGGCCTTGGGTTGTACCCTGTAGTGGCGCACACTGAAATGGCACTCAGGAGGTAGAGGAAGGAGAACCAGAAGTCATGGTTGTCCTCAGCTATGTAGGAAGTTTGAGGCCAGCCTGAGACATATGACAATGCACCCCTAACAACTACTCTCAGAACTGCCCATGCTGGATGCAGTGTAGAGGGAGCCTCAGTGCCATCCTGAACCACAGGGAGAAAGGGTTCCCTTCTGCTAGAAAGGACCTTGTTAGGACAAAAGAAAAAAATTTAAACAAGAGTACTGCATTAGCCTGGCAGTGGTGGCATATACCTTTAGTCTCAGCACCCGAAAGGTGAATCTCTGTGAGTTTGAGGCCAGCCTGGTCTGCAAAGCTAGTTCCAGGACAGGCTCCAAAGTAATACAGAGAAACCCTGTTTTGAAAAAAACAAAAAAAAAAACAAAAACAAAAACAAAAAACAAAGAGTACTACATTAATGTCAACAACCTAGTTCTGACAATTAAACTGTGGTTAAGGAATATCCTTTATATTCAAGAAATGCACATTGGGGGGAACTGGCCCCCCTTTTTTCTTCCCAACACTCAGGAAACAGAGATAGGTGGATCTCTGAGTTCAAGGCAAGCCTAGGCTATATAGCAAGTTCCTGAACAGCCAGAGCTAAATAGTGAGATCCTGTCTCAAAAAACAAAGAACAGAAAGAAATGCATATTGAAGTACTTTTGAAGATTTATTCTTATTTATTTGTGGTGTGTGTGTGTGTGTGTGTGCGTGTGCGTGTGTGCATGTGTGCATGTGCCCCAGGAGACCAGAAGAGTGTGTCAGATTCCCCCAGAGCTAAAGTTGCAAATGATTGTGAAACACCCAATGTGAGTGACAGGAAAGGAACTTCAGTTCTCTGGAAGATCTGTACAAGGCTCTGAACTGCTGAGCCATTTCTCCCACCCCTCACTGAAATATTTTAAAGAAATTGTCACAGCTGGACAGATGACTCAGTAGTTAAGAGCACTGGCTGCTCTTCCAGAGGACCTGGATTCAATTCCCAGCACCCACATACATGGTGGCTCACAACCATCTATAATGAGATCTGATGCCCTCTTCTGGCCTGCAGGCATACATGTAGACAGAGCACTCAAAACCAAGAACAGAAAGAAGAAAAGAAAGGAAGGAAGGGAGGGAGGGAGGGAGGGAGGGAGGGAGGGAGGGAGGGAGAAAGGAAGGAAGGAAGGACTTAATTGTTGGTGTGATGGCATAACCCTATAATCTTAGCACTTGAGAAATGGGGGCAGGAGGACCAGGAGTTAAGTTCAGCCTGTACTACATGAAACCCTATCTAATTTTTTTAAAAAATATATACCTAGAAAACTCAATCTAGACATTAACTGAAATTTGCACTTGAGAGAGTTGACAAGATGCCTCAGAGAGTAGGGTCCCTTGCCACCAAGCCTGACAATCTGAATTGCCCCTGGGAGGAAAGCTGTCATTTGATCTCCATGTGCATACCATGACACAGGCAATGAACACTCCACTGCACACAGAAGTTAATTAATATATGATAAATCTGGCTTATGAAATGGGAAAGCCTCTGCTCATTTCTGGCTTGTAATTATTTTTAACTAGCTCTTGGGTGCTTCCAACCAAAGCAAAAGTGTTGTTTTAAGTTAGTAACAGTAACAGTAATTTAATTCACTTATCAAACATATGCACCTATTTTGTTTGGGTTTTGTTTGTTTTGTTTTGTTTTTTGAGACAGGTTTCTCTGTATCGCTTTGGAGCCTGTCCTGGAACTAGTTCTGTAGACCAGGCTGGCCCCAAGTTCACGGAGATTAGCCTGCTTCTACCTCCCAAGTGCTGGAACTAAAGGTGTGCACCACCAACACCCAGCTCATATGTACCTATTTTATGATAGATATTACATCAAAAAATGACATGAAGGTGAACATGAAAATTTCTTTGGCAAGTGAGGCAGTGGTGACACACACCTTTAAACCGAGCACTTGAGAGGCAGAGGCAGGCAGATCTCTGTGAGGTGGAGGCCAGGACAGCCAGAACTACATAATAAAGTCTATTTTCTCTGTCTCAAAAAAGAAAAGAAAAGTTTCTTTGGCTTCAAGGGGTTCATAATCTATTGGAAAGGATAAACAACAAATCACACTATAATATAATGCTTCACAAATGTCTTTTATAGTGAAAATGCAAGAATTTGAGACTGTTACACTGAAGAATAAATTACTAAATCCATCAATATTACTTTGGATTGTGTTCAGCTTTGAACGACCAAAAATACACCAATGGTTTATAAGACTTGATTTTATTCCATTATGAAACACAGCAGCTTGAGCTAGTATCAGTCCTCAGTGCTGCTAAGAACCCAGAATCCTCTTTCCTTCCTGTCTGCAACCCTTCGGAAAAGCAGTTTGCTTTCTCTTCTGCTATTAATGCATTTACACTGAAGGCAGGAAGAACAAAGGGCAGGAGGGAAACCTCACCCAGCCCATTCCTTTTCAACCAAACAATGGCTTCAGTGGAAATGAAACTCAGTAGATAAATGCTTATAAAAGATGTCGGACAACCTAAGAAATCACATTGTAGCCTACCTTGTCGTCCCTCTCTGGATATGCAGCATGGGCATTAGCAATTCATAGCACACTCTTGTTTACTCCCTATCCCCAAGGCCTCACCCAGATTCACACCGAGGGCCTCTGGTTAATTGGCTGGCCTGCTCTGCCCATTGGGTCCATCTGTGGCACACATGGTAGACACCTACCCCACTTTAGTGAGAAATAAATGATAGGATGAAAAATAAAAACATGAGATTGGGAAACCATGGTAGTGCTCAGGCTACAGAAAAATCCTAAACCCTAGGGATAGGGAAAGGCAAACTTCTTAACTTGTTAAGAGACTAAATCCTCAGTCTGTTAATCTGGCAGTACCAAATTCTATTTTCAAGAGACTCAAAGCCCTGCTCTACTACACAGATGCCAGATCCAGTCTCTAGGCCACTCCCTGTCTCGGGGAAATGGAGATCTTGGGGAAGATAGCCTCTTTGGGGGGCTTCAAAAGCTTTCACAGTCCACTTCCTGTTAACCTGAGTTCAGGAGACCAGGGATGGCTTTAAAAGCTGAAGTGCACAATACGAGTCTGGGTTTCTTAGCAATACAATCCACTCAAAACTATAAACTCCAAGTCTGTTTCCACAAACAAGAAACCACAGGCAAGTATCTTACCCTACTTTGAGCACTAAAGACCATCACCTCTTTGTTAATATTGCTGGGATCTGCCTCACTCACTAGCCCTTACATTGAGACCACTTTTTTGTTTGTTTTTGAGACAGGGTTTCTTTGTGTAGCCATGACTGTCCTAGAACTCATTATGTAGATCAGGCTGGCCTCCAACTCACAGAGATCGGCCTGCCTCTGCGTCCCAAGTGCTGGGAGTAAAGGCGTGCGCCACCACCGCCCAGCGAGACCACTTCTTAAAGCAAGAAAAGCAA